AAACAATTACCAGACAAGCAAAAGCTGAGGGAATTTGCTTCCCACAAACCACCTCTACAGGGCATCCTACAGGGACTGCTCTAGATGGGAGCACCCCTAAAAAGAGCACAGAACAAAACACACAACATATGAAGAATGGAGGAGGAGGAATAAGAAGGGAGAGAAGAAAAGAATCTCCAGACAGTGTATATAACAGCTCAATAAGCGAGCTAAGTTAGGCAGTAAGATACTAAAGAAGCTAACCTTGAACCTTTGGTAACCACGAATCTAAAGCCTGCAATGGCAATAAGTACATATCTTTCAATAATCACCCTAAATGTAAATGGATTGAATTCACCAATCAAAAGACACAGTGTAATAGAATGAATAAAAAAGCAAGACCCATCTATATGCTGCTTACAAGAGACTCACCTCAAACCCAAAGACATGCACAGACTAAAATTCAAGGGATGGAAAAAGATATTTCATGCAAACAACAAGGAGAAAAAAGCAGGTGTTGCAGTACTAGTATGAGACAAAATAGACTTCAAAACAAAGAAAGTAGCAAGAGATAAAGAAGGACATCACATAATGATAAAGGGGTCAGTCCAACAAGAGGATATAAGCATTATAAATTTATATGCACCCAAGACAGGAGCACCAACATATGTGAAACAAATACTAACAGAATTAAAGGAGGAAATAGAATGCAGTGCATTCATTTTAGGAGGCTTCAACATACCACTCACTCCAAAGGACAGATCCACCGGACAGAAAATAAGTAAGAACACAGAGGCACTGAACAACACACTAGAACAGATGGACCTAGTAGACATCTAGAGAACTCTACACCCAAAAGCAGCAGGATACACATTCTTCTCAAGTGCACATGGAACATTCTCCAGAATAGACCACATGCTAGACCACAAAAAGAGCCTCAGTAAATTCCAAAATATTGAAATTCTACCAACCAACTTCTCAGACCACAAAGGCATAAAACTAGAAATAAATTGTACAAAGAAAGCAAAAAGGCTCAAAGACACATGGAGGCTTAACAACATGCTCCTAAATGATCAGTGGATCAATGACCAAATTAAAATCGAGATCAAGCAATATATGGAAACAAATAACAACGCAAAGCCCCAACTTCTATGGGATGCAGCAAAAAGCAGTTTTAGGAGGGAAGTATATAGCAACCCAGGCATATTTAAAGAAGGAAGAACAATCCCAAATGAATAGTTGAAAGTCACAATTATCAAAATTGGGAAAAGGAGAACAAATGAGACCTAAAGTCAGCAGAAGAAGGGACATAATAAAGATCAGAGAAGAAGTAAATAAAATTGAGAAGAATAAAACAATAGAAAAAATCAGTGTAACCAAGATTTATTTCAGAGGTACAATGGATCACCTAAATGTAAATAAAATCCTCTTACATGACATCAAATACAAGATCATAAAACAAAATTGATAATTGGACTTCATGAAAGTTGAAAATTTTTACATTCAAAAGATGTTAGTAAGGAAAAATGAAGAGGCAAGCCACAGACTGGGGATCTTCTTTCCAAATAAAAAAGCAACAAAATAGATATTCCATTCAAAACTCATATCCAATGCTCATTACATTATATTTAAAATATCAAAAGTTGCTGTAATGATGTTTCACATTTTATCTCTTATTTCCAAAAGTCATTTGGGAATAGGGTATTTCCTTTATCCCACATGCCACTTCGAAATAGTAATTTCTTCTTCATTCCCTAAAAACTCTAGCTCTTCTGTAGATCATGCCATTAGGCAATACTTAACTTCTTTACGAACTTCCTGGTTTTTCCCTATTCTTTATTGAAGACTTTGGCCTTTGGTTCACTGATTTCACTCTGCGTTAATCGGTACTGCTGAATACTTGAGAGCAGCCCTCTGCAGATCTCTGGAGTTTCTCGTGGAGTACTTCTCTCCTCTCTGGTACTCTGCCCTATGAACTCTATCTGCCTTGGTCTACCCATAAACTCAGCCCCATGCTGAGCATCCACTGGGCTCTACTGCACTTCCCTTTCCTGTGCTGCAGCCAGAAAGGCAGTGAGCCTGGGTAATCGTAAGGTCCATGTGATTCATTTTGCATCTGTCAGAGATCACTGTCCACTGTTGCCTGATACTTAGTGTCTTGAAAACTACCATTTCATATATTTTGTCTTGCTTTTTTGGTTGTTTCAGACAGAAGGGTAAAGTGGTTGTTGTTGCTCCATCCTGGCCAAAAGTGGAAGTCATTGGTTTCTCTCTAAATTAATGGCCTAAACTGGGCACTCTTGTTATGCTTCTCAAATGCATCTGCTGTGTATGCCATTCTCAAAAATAGTATGTTCTTACGGTGTGATGCACAGACTATCGGGGCTGGTCCCTGAGACTCTTATAAGAAGTTCACATAATCAAAACTTTTTCAAAGTAATAAATACTAAGATATTTAGTTTTCCTTTTTACTCTCAGCCTCTTACGAGTATATAGTAGATTTTTCCAGAGACTAAATGAGGTGTGATGATATCATTGCTCCAGTAGATAATGGAATGTACTCTCATATACTCCGATGTTTTATAATTTTCTCAGTTTTAATTTCTAATACAGTAAATATGAGTAGATATGACCCACATATACCAAAGCTCTTGGGGGATACTCAGTAATTTTGAAGACTCCTGGGACCTAAATGTTTGAGAATTTCTATCTAAGATGATCATCTCTGTAAGGGACATATAAGTACCATTCTTTATGTTTGCAAAGTAAGATGAAACTCCATTTCAATCCCCAAGAAGAAAAGTAAGGGAGAAACACTTAAGCTGCTGCTGCTGCTTTGGGAAAGAAGAAATAAAATGTGAACCCATCATTATAGCAACTTTTGATTTTTTAAATAAAATGTAATGAGCATTGGATATGAGTTTTGAATGGAAAATCTACTGCATTGCTTTTTTAGTTGGAAAGAAGATCCCCAGTCTGTGGCTTGCCTCTTCATTTTTCCTTAATGGCACCTTTTTAATGTAAAAATTTTCTGATTTTTTTTCTTCCTCAAAATTGTCCCATTAGTTACTTTTGGAAAAGAAATTGAGCATGCTAATCTGCTCCCTTCTCAGTTCTCTCCTTGTTTTAGAAGTCAGACTGTGTAAAGAATGCACATAATTTCTGTTCCTTTATGTGGAAGCAGATGAGGCCTGTGGTTGAGTAAAACTATTAACTGTAGGTGTAAAGTATTATCAAATTCATTGGCTACAGATCTAAAGGTACATTCTCCATTTAGCTTTATCAGTAATAAAAGTGATATTTTGATCACCATCTATCATTTTTCTGAAGCTTTTCTTAATAAACTCTGAATTTAGGAAGAACAGACAGGGTAATACATATCATGCCTTATCCTCCCTGCTTAAACCTCCTACACCCCATGCTCTCTTTCTTTTGAGCTGATCACCTCTTTTCACACTACTTTGAGAAAATCAAAGCCATGAAAGAGAACTCCCTCATAGTTCCACTACCAGACCTACAAACTTAGTTATACTTGTATCCATTTTTCCATCTTAACTGCCTTTTCTCTTTTACAGTAGGAAAGTGTCCATATACTTATACAAATGTAAACAGTATCTCTTGTGCTCTGGATAACATTCCCTACCCTTCTCTAGCATTCTGTTTCTTATGTTCTCTCTCTGCTTTTACATTGCCAGTCTGCTTGTCTGCTGGATCACTGAACTGTCATACAGTTGTGCATAATGTTTTATCATTATCGCCTATCTTTATATAGGAAAAAAGGTCTTGACCCTGTGTTATCTTCCAACTATCACCTCGTTTTTCTGTTCCCATTCAGATCTAAACACCTGGTAAGAATTGTCTGTACTTGTTGTCTCTACTTCTTTCCCTCTAACTCATTTTTTAACAAATTTATATCAGCCTTCTGTTTTCATGTATCTACTAAAGCTACATTAGTTTGGGTTACCATGGATGGCAGTGTTGGAAAATCCTGTTTATCTTACTTGGCCTCTCAGAAGATTAGACAAGACTGACTATTCCCCACTGATACCTTACCTCTCGTGGCTTCCAAGATATGGGAGACTACACTCTTTATTTTTGTCTCTTCCTGAATCGCTTTTTCTCTTCCTCTTCTCAATTCCTGACTTTTGTAATGTCTCAGAGCTGTAGTTTAGGTCCTTTACTCTTTGATGTCTATATTCTCCCTGTAAATGATACAGTCCAAACCATAGCTTTATATACCATCTTTATATTATGGATGTTCAACTTCATATGTGCAGCCCTGGCCTCTCCCTTGAGTGATAAATTCATACACATTTGACGTTTGAACAGCATTGGTTTAAATTGCACAGGTTCACTTATATGCAGATTTTCTTCAGTAAACATACATAGAAAATTTTTTGAGGATTTCTGACAGTTTGTAAAAACTGACAAACTACTTAGCCTAGAAATACTAAAAAAAATTTTTTTAAGTTAAGTATGTCATGAATGCATAAAATATGTGTAGATATTAGTCTGTTTTATCATTTACTACCATAAAACAGTAGCCTATTAGCAGTTAAGTTTTGGGAGAGTCAAAAGTTGTATGTGGAACTGCATGGGAGTCAGTGCCCCTAACCCCCATATTGTTCAAGGGTCAACTGTATTACTGCAGTAATGGTGGTAATATCGATTGTTTCTACTTGTTAGCTGTTATGAGTAATGCTGCTATGACTAATCATATGCAAATCTTTAAGCAAATGTTTTCATTTCTCTTAGGTAACAACCTGTGAGTGTAGTTGCTGGATTGTATTATAAATTTGTCTTTTATTTTTGAGAAACAGTCAACCTGTTTTCCAAAATAGCTACATCATGTTACATTCGCACCATCGCTGTCAGTATTTGATATCATGTTATCTCACTGTAGTTTTGATTTGCATTTTCTAATGACTAATGATGTTAAGCATAATTTCATGTGCTTTTTAGTCATTTGTATGTATCCTTTAGGGAAATTCAATATTTTGCCCATTTTTGAATTTGATTTTATTATTTCATCTTATTATTAAGTTGGCAGAGTTCTCTGTATATTCTGGATATAAGTCCTTTAGCAGATACATAATATGCAGAAATGTTCTCCAGTCTAGGGCTTGCCTTTTTATTTTTCTTAGTAGGGTCTTTGGAAGTGCAAAGGTTTTCAATTTTTTGAAGTCCAAATTATTAAAATTCTTTATGGATCCTGTTTTTGATGTTATAACTAAAAATTCTTTGCCTTACCCAAGATCATGAAGAATTTTCCCCTTTATTTACATTAAGATGCATGATACATTTCAAGTTAATTCTATGCATGGTATGAGGAGAGTCTAGGACCATTCATTTAAAAAAATTATACTTCCCCATTGAATTACCTTAGCAACTTTGTCAAAAAGCAATTGACCATAATTGTAAGGGTTTATTTTTAGACTCTCAATTCCATTCCATTGATCTATATGTCTATCTTTATGCCTAAAATAAAGGCTCTTATGATGGTTGAATGTCATCAGTGTGGGGAAAACTGACTTAGGGCCTTATCAGTTAAATATTAGCATTTGTATTTTTCAACATAATGATTAGAAACAACCTGAACTCAAATTATTTTTTTTTCTTATTTAGAATGTTTAATAGAACTTGAACCAGTTCTGAGAACATTTGAAGAGATAACTTTTCTTGAAGCTGTTATTCAACTAAAAAAAACAAAGGTAAATTGTTAAATGAAATACTTAGAACTTTAAACAATTATATATTACTTGCGGAGATTTAAACTATGCTGTTTTTATCTGTGTACTTTTCAAAGATATAGGCTACAGTATTGGAGCAGTAGAGTTTACCAGAGACTCTGAATACTTTCTTTTCTTTGGCCACCTCCAGATTTAAAAGACATTTCCACATCTTTCATATATTAAATGTAAATTTTAAATATTTAATGAATGCCAGTTGTATACAGTGAAAGCCCTAAATCATAGGGGTTTTTATATTTTATATTTATTTCCCTAAAGTTTTAATATATACAGAATAATAGATGTATGGGTCCTTGCACTTCTCTTTATTCAGTGTTCTTGGGCTTTCCTAAGATTTATTGCCAAGTTAAGCTGTAGAATTTTTATTAATAATTGAGGTCAAGCTGTTATTTTTTATTGCTTCTTTGTTTTTTTGTTTTTCCACTCAAACACTCCCTGTTTCCTAGACCAAAATAGCAGTTGATATGAATTATCTAGAATAGTTGTCTTATGTACTCATTCTGGCTCTTGTAGATCAGAAGAAAAATTGAAAGGACCCTATTACTACAAAGTTTTCTTAATATTATCAGAAGTTTTTCTGAAAGGAACTGCAGTCCTTTAGGGACAAAGTAAATATAGTGTAGCACTTGCTGGGGTTCAAAAAAATGCATTTGAGATATGATAATGAAAGCCATTACTTACCCAAACCTTGGGTTGTGAATAAAATGACATTGCTTACCTCTTGCAGTTTGCTGGATCTATTGACAGAATTTTTTATTTAAAGGGGAGTACATAAAGGAAACAGTTGCCTTTAACTAAAAATTGATGGTAGAAATACTAGTGCCTAAATTTTTTAAGGCTCTAACAAGGAAATGTTTTATTTCTTTTGGTAACTTTTCACTGACTTTCCCACTTGTGACAAGGTACAGTCTTTTCCAGAATATTCCAGTGTCTCCACTTCTTAGTAAATACAAACTTTGATAACATTTCTTTTTGCTTTGCCTTTTCAGTTCCCTTTTCTTTCCTCACAGCTTTCTCTTCTGCCAAGCAAAGGTGTATACATAGAAGGATCTGTTTTATTGTTTATAAAGTAAAAGAAAACCATTCCAGCCCCTTTTTTTTCTGCAAACACCTTAAATACTAGGATCTACATTTAAAACTGTTAGATTTTTAGAAGAAATTTCAGCTTTTTAAATAAAGTAATTTATGTGTATATTTTCAAATACTTTCTTTAATAGTAGCATTATTTTCTTTGGTTTTTTGAGTTGCTGTATTTTACACAGAGTTGTTGTAGTTACTTTTTTACTTTTTCTGAAATCCTTGTATTAATCCTGTGAAACTGGTAGAGGAAGGATATCATCTCCATCTGATAGATAACTGAGGTATAGGCAAGTTAGGTAATGCCCTGAATACCTAGCTAATGACAAGGCCAAGAGTAGAATACAAATTTAATAAGATTTTTTCATAAAGGTGTTTCTGAAAACAAAGATCACCATTGAGGGTAACTTGTTTTGTTGAGTTTTCTACATTTTTTTCATTTCTTTGAACTGGCTCCTCTAATTCATGTTTTTCACAAATAACATCTCCTGTATCTTGAATAATAAAAGTTGAAACAAAAAAAAAGAGTTTTTCCTTAATATTTCATTTCTAGAACTAATTCACTAGTTTATAATAGTTTGAATTATCACAATTGCTCAGTTATAAAAACTGATGCTACTAAGTCAAGGATATTGCATTTTCAGAAATGTTTCAGTGAATTTAAAAGCACAGAAAACTATGTAGCAGACACAGATCCAAACACCTTAAAAGTTCATGGAAAAATGTATTTAACAAAAGTTCATTAGACTTCTGTGAGCAAATTATTGTGCTATATAGATTGTATAACATATCAATAGTAGTTTTTTCCTCCTAAAATTCCTTACTCATGTAATGGAGCACAAAGTATGAATACTGGAGTTCTGGGTATGGAAACCACCAATTTCTAAAGTCCTATAAAACAGTTGTCATTATGTTGGTTTGGGGAAGAAAAGAGGACTGATAGGTTTGTTCTTAAATCACTCAGTAGTGATGGTAACTAATCCAAGCCTGGCTTATAGAGACAGGAAAAATCACTAAACAATTTTAACACTAGAGTGTTGCATTTGAATTAATCAACTGCTTACTAGTTACCATTTATTGAGTGCTTTATAAGTAATCTTAGAGCTTTTCTGCATATATTGTTTATAATCCTCCTTACAATAATCCTACAAAATAGGTACTCTCTTCTCCAGTTTACAGATAAATAAACGGAGATTGTCTCACACCAAGATCAGACAGCTAGGAATCCTGGGATTGTAAACCAGATCTGATTGGCTATATGGCCCTCAGCATTCCATTAGGGCACTCTGTCTCCTTTTACTCGGTAACCCTCAGTTTCTTATGAATGAAATAAAAATAACACCAGTACCTAAAAAACAGTGCCTAAAATATAGTAAATGAGTTTGCTCAAGGTAACCAATTAATATGAGGTGGGATTCAAAGTCTATTTCTCTTAAGTTATTTCCCCTATACACTGTCTCTGCCTTATGTTCTATATTATATCCTGAACTGATTTAGATTTTCTTCCCATTGATTTTATATAAGCATATAAATACATTAAGTAGATTGTATTTTACTCATGTAATTTCCAAATCACCTCTAGTTAAAGTGCATATGTGTATTAAAATGCATACATGTATTCATTTCAGTTACAGAGTGCTTCGAGTACTATTCACTTATGTGACAAGAAGAATATGGAGTTATCTCTGAACATACCTGTAAATCATGGTCCACAGGAGGTAAAAAAATTATGTTGATAAACTCTAAATATGAGAAGAATATGAAAAATAATTTACTCTGACTCCTTCTTTTTTAATTGGGAAACTAAAGCCTGGGGAGGTTTTAGGGTTTATCAGATAGTTCATGACAATCTCCAGTTTGAAATCCAGCTCTCCTGATTCTCAGTTCATTATTCATCTCATCAAATCACAGTCCTTACTTCTTTGTTTGGCATTAATTTCTGTCCCTGTCATTGTATTATATAATGAATGACATTTCAGTGTGATACATGGGCAAATCATTAATTATAGTTTTGCCCCTATATTTATGCCTTCTTACCCAAATATAAAATATCAAGAATACCTACCTTGTCCTTGCTTCTTACAATGATTAATAAAAGAAAAATGCCATTTGTCTGGCTAGCCAAAAGAATTACTTTAGTAGCACTTATTCTGACATATTTCATATTAACCATTTATTTTAAGCATATATAAGAAATTTTCACTTTATGGATTCAGAAAAGTAATAATACTTTCAAAATGAACCTTAAAGCACAATACATAATCTTTGAATTACCTTTATTTACAGTATCTCATTGGATCTTTGAGCCCGTACATTTTTAGATAGATGTTATAGATACTACAGAAAAAAACTGAGAGCCAAAGAATTTAAATGCTTTGTTGAAGGACAGTCAGTTATTCCATGATGGAGCTAGGAATGGAGCCAAGTTCTGCATTACTTTTTCCATGGATTACCACCCGTCCATGTTGAAGGAACCTGAGGCATTGATAATTGACATTTGCTCTGAATTCGTAGGAAACCAGAGTTGCAGATTTCAGATTTCTTAACTGTACAGAGCCTCTGAGATCATACAGAAAATACTGAAAAAGTAATGATTTCTAATTATTTCATTATGGCCCCATATCTCCCCCAATTTGGGTTGATAAAGAAATCAGGTCATTTTGTTATTTTATATATGTGTTTCTTTAGTTCTGTAAAGTATAATTTGTACTAGTTTGATTCTTTGTTTATAATAAGCCAGAGGCAAGAACTGTTTGGAAATTAAAGCTGCACGACTTTTAAAATGATGTTCCATTAACCTAAATTGTTTATCCTCTGTGTAGGAATCATGTGGATCCTCCCAGCTCCCTAAAAGTAGTAGTTCTCCTGGAACATCAACATCCCTGTCAGCTTCTCCAGACAATTTTTTATCTAGTACGTAAATTTTTCAATCGGTATTAGTTGAAAGTTTTCCATTTTCTTTCAAGATCATATTGTTGACAAGAAGTCATGGTTTGTATGGAACATACCTTTCATTTGCATTCATAACTCATCTTTTAAAAGTAACAGAGTCTAAAATGTAATGTTCAACATTATACATTGCACAATTAAAGGCATTATGATAGACACTATGAAAAGAAAATTTTTATATCTCTTGTAAGAAAGAGGACAAACATTTCTAAGTAAAAATAGTATGAGATAGAAATGATTTATCATAAGGGAGATACGGATATAGAGCTATAGTGAGAGAGGGAGAGTAACATTTTTACAAAGTACTTTCACAACAACCTTGTGAGGGAGATATTCCTCATTTTACAGATTTTTAAGATCAAGACTTCTGGATCACATAGTTAGTAGCTGGCAAATCCAAGACTCGAAGCCAGGTCTTTTGATACATATTTTCATGTCACTCCACTACACCATGTTGTCATCATGAAGAAACTGTTTCTGGCTGAAGGTTGGACCTGTAGTTATAAAGAATGGGCAAACCAGGCAAAATGAGCAACATAGAGGCACAGAAGCAAGAAAACACAGAGAACAGTGAGTAGTTGGTTTTAGCTGGTGAAGAGGGTGAATGAAAGAAAATAAAAGATCAGTATGGTGGAGTCATATCACGATTCTCTGAATAGGCAAAGCTATTTTTGAGCTGTTCTGTTTGGGTAGGGACTAATGTTTGCAAGTGCTTGAGCAAAGGTATGACATGATGAAATTTTTTGCTTTAGGGAAATTCATCATGGCTAGAATATGTAGGATATTTGGAAGGAAAAGGGAACTGGAGATGGGAAGGCCAATTAGGAGACATGGTCTTTTACTATAGTAGAGGTGAGAAATCTGATCCAGATTACAGGCAGGGAAGAATGGTGTGAGAAGTAATGGAGGACACACTGATAGGATTTTATAACTTTTCACTTGCTGGGGGAAAGAGGATAAAAAAGATAAAGCAGAACTAGTTGTTTAGCTGGGTGATGGGGAAAACATCAGCAAATAGTTGGAACAGTTTTTAGAGTTAAGATGAATATAATTAAGTTTTTAATGTATTTTTAATTTGAGGTGCTTAGCAGCTCATGTGATGGTAATGTCCAGTGAGCTGTTGAAAATTTAAGACTAAGTTTCAATGAAGACAGAAAATGACTCATATAGATTTGGGAAGACAGGTGACAATTGAGGCCCTGAGGTTGGATACGATTACCAAAGGAGAGTATAGGACATGTGTCATATAAATTTCGAGGACATATTTAAAGTGAATAAGGAGGAAGACAGGAAGAAATATGGGACTATGTGAAGAAGTGAAATCCCATGATTTTTAATTTACATAGAACAGACAAGCACAGACAAAAGTATGGTAAAATCATTCAGTATAAATCCTTTTTTGTTCTAAAAAATACTTGTGGAATTAGGTTTATGAATCACCTTTCATAGCAGTGAAAATTTAGGCTTGAATACTATTGTCTGTATGGCTCAGATGTTCATATTTTAGCTAATAGGAGTAGCTAAGGAATATTCTACCCCTAATGAAGGTGTTGTGTTTTACAGGAAAAACTCAAGACTTCTCTATGTTGCATCGCTGTCCAGTAAACCATAGATGGGATAGTAACATTTCTGCAGCTGAAAGGGTGACATTCTGTGATCCCAAGACCACCCCATGCTCTTTAGCAGTAATAAATCCACTTTCAGCTGAGGGAAGTTCAGGTAAATATTTATTGTGAGACATTTTATAAATTATGCCATTTATCTCACAACTATATGTTCAGTAGATTTGCCATACAATAAGTTTTGTTAATCTTTATTTCTTCAATATGATAAATATATACCCTCTTAAATAGGAAAGCTCTTCCAGTCCCAGAAAATGTGAATGCTGAAATGTAATAATAGGCCCAAATGGCATTCCTTGATCATCTCTCTAGGGAGGGATTGCTAAGAGGATGTGTGACTTAATAGGTTACTGAAGTTATTTTTGTTTATTTAACAAATATGCAGATATCCTTTATATTAAAAAAAAAGCCTGAAACACAGTGTTTTTTGCCCCCATGACTTATAGCGTATAAAAATACAGTGCTTTCCTGGGAGAAGAAGGGAAGAGATAACATAAATATCTGAATGTTTCCTGAAAATTAACAGCATCCCCCAAAATACTGGTATTCCATAGTAGCATAATCATAGTAAAATTAGGTTTTATGCCTTGTTACTCCTTTTTTCATCTAATTCTACTTCCTTGCTCTTCTACAGAGCGATTACAACCTGGGATAGCCCAACAGTGGATCCAGAGTAAAAGGGAAGACATTGTGAACCAGATGACGGAAGCCTGCCTTAACCAATCACTAGATGCCCTTCTGTCCAGGGACTTGATCATGAAGGAGGACTATGAGCTCATTAGTACCAAACCCACAAGGACCTCAAAAGTCAGACAATTACTGGACACTTCTGACATCCAAGGAGAAGAATTTGCCAAAATTATAGTACAGAAGTTGAGAGATAACAAGCAAATGGGTCTTCAACCTTACCCGGAAATACTTGTGGTTTCTCAATCACAGTCTTTAAATTTATTCCAAAATAAAAGCTTGTAAGTGACTTTTTCAAGAAGAAAAGTGAGTTTATAAAATGCTATTTATATCTCTGTCCCCTTGATCATATTGTTTTTTAAAAATCCCTAAGAGTATTAGGAGCTTTAAAGAAGTTTCTTTAGGTAAATACTAATCTCCTTCAGTGACATTACAGTATTTTTTTAATTAATATAGTATAAAGTTAATATTTTACTACATAGTTCATTTTTGTGTTTCTTTTGTTAATTGAAACTTTTTTAATGTAATATATTTTCATACATATCTTAAGGTATGCGTTTCTCATGGAAGCCATTTTCACATTCATTTTCTTCATGGATTATTTATTACTTGTCTAACATGAAGTTTGGCTTTTCTGACATTATTAAACTTAAATCAGAGGTAGTAACAGCATTTCTACCCTTCAGTCTCAGGTTCAAATCCTCTATAGAGGACTGTTTATTAAACTCTGTCATCCAAATTACATTTTTAAATCTTATTGAAATATTCTTTTAAAAGTTGTTTCAAAGGTAAAACAATACAACGTACAGAAAGAAATTGATCTTTCCACATGTATTTGGACACTGGGCTCTGTAGAGAGCCCCATTTCTAACCTTAACTACCAACCAAGATAAAGTTAACAGCATGATTTGTATCCTCTGTATCCTTCCTGCTCATATGTAAAGCATATGCTCATTTAGGAAAAGGTCTTGTCTTAATGTTATTAGCATTGTAACACATACTGCAACCTAATTTTTTCATTTAATAGTACATCATGTGCAAGACTCTGGATGACATGAAGTAGATCTTACTCATTCTTTTTAATTGCTGCATGATATTATCAGGGCTGCACTTTAATTTTCTAGTTCATACCAGTTTGGTCCAAACAGTAAAGATATAGTGTGAGTTCTTTTTATGGTTAACAGGTTATGTCACTAAATGAAAACCTACAAGGAATGATAACCTTCTTCTGAAAATATTTATTAGCAATGTTAGCAAAAAGTATGATACAAGATAAATTTGAAAGTGAACTTTCAAGAAGCACTAGACCCATAGTCTGGGGGAAGAAATGAGTAATAAAAATGACTAGATGGCTTTGAGACAATTATTGTATTAAAATTATAAAATAAGCATTTTAATCTCCATTTTGGAACTTAAAATTAACCTATGGTGCCTCATTATTGTGCCTTGGAAAAATAGGGAAATTAATAGGGAAAAAAGGAAATGGAGTAGGTATGTAAGTTATCTATTTATAGCTACTTAATTTTAAGTGTGTTAGGATAATGATTTAATTTGGGAAATAAGTTGAGAGGAAAAAAACACGTCTTTTCCATTGGGGGCTTTCCCCTTTCCCTGTACAAATTCTAAAAAAAAAAATTAGTTATTTTGCATCTTGATGGTTTTGAATTCATTTTGTGGATTTGATGATGTGGTATATCTGGATTGGTGAGGTGATTTTTTTCCCCTGTTCTTTCCATTTTCTGCCTATCTAAAAATTACAGCTTTCCAACCAGTCTGCTTTGGCTACATGCATGCCAGCCATTTTCTACCATAATTTAATAAGAGGGAGGCACACATAGTCACCCATTATTACAACTCTGCAGACTTTTTCTGCATGAATAATAATAGCATAATGATGAATAAGATGATGTCAAAGATCAAGATGAATCTGCAGTAAGTTCTCATCCCCTAGTGGAACTGCTATAATTTCAGCCAGTTTTCATTATAACTCATATTTAATAACACACTGAAATTTAGGGGAAGGTAGGGCAGGATATTCTGAACATGACCAGTCAGTATGGAACAGGCCCTGGCATAGAAGAAACATTTTCTAAATATCTCTTTAATGAGTGGTTCAGTGGAATGAAAGCTGCTCTCCCAGGAGAGGAAGGCCACAAACCAGCAAGGGATGTTCTGCCAGCCAACACATGCGCCAGCTCCCCACAACTACCTCTATCACCATGAAAAGGCAGAAGAATTTGATCGAGACCAAAATCAGAGTCAATCCCTGAGGAGATAGACATAACCAATCTTCCTGAAAAAGAATTCAAAATAAAGGTCATAACCATACTGATGGATTTTCAGAGAAATATGCAGACCTAAGGGATGGACTCTGGAAGGAGATTACAGAAATGAAACAATCTCTGGAAGGACTTAAGAGCAGACTGGATGAGGTGCAAGAGGCCATTAATGAAATAGAAATCAGAGAACAGGAACACAGAGAAGCTGACGCAGAGAGAGATAAAAGGATCTCCAGGAATGAAACAATATTAAGAGAACTGTGTGACCAATACAAAAGGAACAATATCTGCATTATAGGAGTACCAGAAGAAGAAGAGAGAGAAAAAGGGATAGAAAGTGTCTTTGAAGAAATAATGGCTGAAAACATCTCAAAACTGGGGGAAGAAATAGTCGCTCAGACCATGGAAGCACACAGAAGTCCCAACAGAAGGGACCCAAGGAGGACAATACCAAGACACAATAATTAAAATGGCAAAGATCAAGGACGAGGACAGAGTATTAAAGGCAGCCAGAGAGAGAAAAAAGGTCACCTACAAAGGAAAACCCATCAGGCTATCAACAGACTTCTCAACAGAAACCTTACACGTCAGAAGAGAATGGCATGATACATTTAATGCAATGAAACAGAAGGGCCTTGAACCAAGAATACTGTATCCAGCACGATTATCATTTAAATATGAAGAAGGGATTAAATAATTCCCAGACAAGTAAAAGTTGAGGGAATTTGCCTCCCACAAACCACCCCTACAGGGTATTTTAGAGGGACTGCTTTAGATGGAAGCACTCCTAAGGATAAATGGATGTCACCAGAGAAAATAAACTCACAGCAAAGAAAGCAGACCAACCATATA